TCCAGCAAAGGGCAGTGGGAACAGCAAACCCTAGGAAAGAATGGAATTAATGTATGCAGGAGTGGGTAAGGCACCCAAACAATAGACTCCTTTGTCCAGGAAGTCAATGGCGAGGGAGAGTAAATGGCAAAGACACAGAAACTGCTGCCTCTCGGCTTTCAGGGGGAATTGTCTTTTGCAGCGTTGGCACGCAAAGCCCTGCCTGTGTAAACTTTAAGTAGAATAGAAGATCCAGCATCACTCTGTTGGGGCAATTCCTACTCGGCAGGTGAAAAACTCGAGTGTTTTTAAGACCGCTACATCCCTGCGTGTTTTACATATGGAGAGGTAAAGAAAAAACGTTTGCTGGTTGTACAGAACTGAAAATAACCCTCAAATCCCTGCTTAAGGCAGGGACTGTTCCTTTGATGGGAACGACAGAGCTTTTCATTCACCCCAGGAGTACGAGGTACGCCCCGGATACTCTTAGACTTGGCTGTGCCCACCTCAGGTCACAATGATGATAAACATTTGATAAAAGTTTTTTAAGGAGAACATCTAATAATCGTGGGGAATTCAGGCAGTACGATAATGGGGAAGGTCGGTGAACAGCACGACAGATATCACTGCGAATGTTCTTTCTCTTTCTGTGCGTTTTATTTGTTTCAAAAGAGAAGAAAGCAAAACCTAATCAAGGCAATTATGAAGGTTCACTGAGTCTGCCTGTCAGCACAAAAATCTTAGGAACGTTTAAAGAGGAAAAAGAACACTTACTCAGAAGAATGAGTTGGCCAAGAAAAATGTCTGTTACTCAGGTGCCCTCTGTTGGCATCTGCAAACCAGGGTTGTGTGAGCAGCTGTGCCAGTTCTTCTCTGGGGAGAAAAAAACACCACCACATCAGTCTTTTAATTTGCTTAACAGAGTATTTCAAAGAAGTGAAAATTATTATTTTACACTCAGCAAAACAAAGTGCCGAAGTGAAGACAGATTTCATTTCACAGGCACTTTATTTTGCTGGTATCCAAAAAACTCAACGAGAAACTGTTATGGAAACCAGTGTGCTACACGTAGAGAGAAAATTCATCTAAAGAGCATCAGCTGGAAACACAACCCGTAGTGTTTTTCTGAAGTAAGTGAATATATGCAAAAAGGGATTTTGTTTAATTCGTCCAGACTTGATGTAAATTCTGTCCTATCTGCCTCCTGTGTTACAGGATTTTGCTGGGATTTATTAGTACTCACCTCTCAAGGTGTTCACTATGTCAGGAAGAATGGCATTGCTCTGATCCTGAGGAGATCCAACTGCATTTCTTGAGCAGCCTTCACCTTTCCTAGGTCTGGCTTCTGGAGATGAACGCAAACCCGCTGCCAAGTCTTGGGAGAGGCTTAAACTTCCCCTTAGTTACAGTCACAAAATAGTTTTTGCTACACGCTGCAACACCCACCAAAGTCACAAGATGGCAAGATCACGCCGCCACCGCCAACAGTCCCGCTCCCGCAAGGGCAGGAGGACGCGTGGAGGGACAAGAAGAAGGTTTGGTGAACACGTTCCCAACAGAAAGGGAAGAAGCTGAAATACACTTTTTAAGCTTCGCCTATATGTACTGTAAGACTTCTTATGTCCTCATTTAAGCCATAATTCGATGTCATTTTTGGAGCCTGCCTATTCTCCTTTTTGTTAGCACTGTCAAGGAAGTTTTTATTGTTTTTCCATATATCTTATTTTAGCTATATACCCATGACAATAACATTAAATATCGTATTTCTAAATTTGCTTGATCACTTAGCCTCTAGACACTTCAGGATTTTTTTCAGGGAAATTTTATTTCCTCTTTTGAAATCATAGAATCCTAGAACGGCCTAGGCTGGACGGGACTTTAGAGATCATTTAATCCAACCTCCCTGTCATGGGCAGGGACACCTCTCAACTAGACCAGGCAAGACACAGGGACCGAGTGGGAATCGAACCCGCGACCTCGGTGTTGTTGTTGTCAGCACTGCTGCTCAAACCACTGAGCTAACTGGCCCCCTCAAAACTTTATTCGCCCAACGTGGGGCTCGAACCCACGACCCTGGGATTAAGAGTCCCATGCTCTACCGACTGAGCTAGCCGGGCAACTAGCATGAAGGCCCCAGCGACGAAATGAGATTCAAGAAAAAAATAATATGGCTACAGGCATTTAATGGGACGTAAGCCTTATTTAGCCTGCAGACCACATACAGAGTCCAAGCTGAAGCTGAAATCAGAACCCGAAAAGCCCCATAAAGTCTGGGATTTGATTCAACTGCGATCTGATTCAAACACTGCAATAATCGCACGCTGATAAAATAAAGCCGAATGGAAACTTAAATACGGTGTTTTCTTACAAGCTCCCTGTTCGGAGCCAATAGCTCTCATTTCCTTTGATGAAAGAACAGCTCTTTTACTGAAATTCTCCAGGGCTTAAATGATTCACACTTGGGGTTTTTCCCTCTGAATTGGAGCTTTAAGAAGTCAGGAAACCGGTTGCTTTTCCCATCAAGAAGCCGCCGTCAAGTCAGGTGGTTAGGTAAGCAGGAAGCGGGACTCTTCTTCAAGGTAGGCACACAGAAACCCAAAAGGCCACCGTGCAAATTTCCAGTGAATAATACGGCTCTGCTCGTCATGTTTCAATATTAACTGGCAGCAGTGTAGGTTACTACACACCCATAGCCCAGAAAGCCTCGCACACCTCGCCGGGATTCATTGCCAGAGGCACAGACTTCCACCAGACACTCAAATCTTTCAGTTCTCAAACTAGTAAGCTCATCGATTTTTTTTTAAAATTTATTTCCTCCCCCCCACAAATGCTGCTGCTTCTCTTGCCATTGTCAGGAATGGAAAAAAATTGCCAGCCACAGTTTCCTGCTCCTTTGGTAGCAGATAGTTGAGAAGCTGCTTTAGCCAGCAGCCAGGAAATGTTAAGCCACTTGCTTGAAAAGTGAAAAAAAGTGTAAGTGCACCAGTTTAAAATTCAGTGTCGGCAGGATTTGGCTTGGGGGCACACTGCTGAAATAGCCAGAGTTCTGTAAGAGAGGGGAAATTAATTGGCAAAGGAAAACTAAGGGCACTCAAAAACATTAGGACAACCTAAAGAAGAAACCCCTGCCTTCCCAGTTTTCTTAATTGTATCACATAGGCACTTCATGTCATTTTCAAGTTTATTTTACCTTAACAAAAGACCACAACCAGAAATGTTGTCGAAAACATTAAAAATTCCAATACAGAGCTGAGAATAAACACGGCCAACACAGAAGAAGCAGCAAGAAGTGTCTTTACCAGTCAGCATTCAGACCTCTGAGTATACAAAATCCCACAGTGAGGCAGCGACAGGCTTACACTTTAAAAACTTTAAAAACTTTTCCTATTTGATCCAATCCAATGCTCGCATCTTGCTTTTTTGAACTTTAACTAACAAAATCTGTCTCCTTCACTGACTTGAAATCAGTCACTGGAGTCAACAAGCGTCTAACAGGTATTGTTGTCCAGCCTCGCCAGGACCAAATCCTCCCCTTGGGGCTGTGACCAGAAAACCAAGGTAACGACCTGTCCCACTTCTTGGGATTCTCTGCCCAAGTGGCTTTTGCGACACACATCTGCGGAGGCAATAACCTCTGCTCCGCAGCAACTGTAATTTCACAGAGCCCTACTGAAAACAGCATGTCATTCAGCCTTGGAATAATCCCTTCTGAGTGTTCAGTAAGGTGATTAACAGAAATTTCATTATTCTGTTAGGATTTAATTTAGAAGCCCTGTAGTGTTTACATTATCTGTAAGAAATCCTGAGGAAGCTGATGTAATGCCTGTACTGAGAGTTGTTTATAACATTTCATGTGAAGACTGAGTCAAAACTCATTTTTGCCCAGAGTTTATTCGGTCATAAAAAAGTCTATTCCAAGCAGCTTTCACCAGAAATCCAAACCAGAAGGTGAATCTAAAAAATAATTCTATAAAAACGACATGTGAGTTTTTAACTAGTTGAAGCCACGGGCTAGAATCTCATTTGAAATCAGAGTACCTTCATAGAAAGCAACCAACTCCAGCTGAAATCCTGCCTCTTTAAATCCAGGCAAAACAATTAATTCTAGTCACATCAGAGCTCTACGAAACTAGAGGAGCACTCATCTAACAAAACACAACAAACCAAACACCTTTCAGCTGACGGTCACTGGAGTTATGCTGGTAAACACCTGCAGACTCTCTGGTTCTTTTTTTCCTGAAGTGGGGGAAAAAAGCATCAGGAACAAATGTTGGGCTTTTCTCTGTTTTCCACTGTTGTTTTCCTGCTCTATACACTAAGTGAGAAGAGAGCATTAATCTCCTTCTCTAGAAAAGCAAGATCCTCACTTGAGTCTTTCAGAAGTTTCCCTTTTGTGATCCAAGACTGCTGAGTTACTGAAGAGTATAACCAGCCTTCTCCGTACTTAGCAGCCTGCGGGAGCACCAGAGACACGAGCAGAAGATGCAAAGGGGAATAATGACAAGAAGGGTCCCTGGTCCCAAAGCAAGTTGAAAAGAGCATCAATTAAAAAAAACCCCAAACCCAAGCAACAAAACATCAAACAGCTCAGGAAACTTGCAATGAAGCAGTGCAGCTGACCTAAACGTCACAGAATCACCTAGAGTGGAAAAGATCTTTAAGATCGAGTTTAACCATCAACCTAACACTGACAGGTCCTCAACAAAACCACATCCCTGAGCGTGGTGTCTACCTGACTCTCATTTACTCCGCCACTGCCTTGGGGAACCTGTTCCAACGCCAGATCCCCCTGTCAGTAAAGACCGATTTAGCAGATTTTCCGTTACTAAATGCTAGGTTTGTGGAGAAGGAAAAAAGGGAAACTCCCCCCAAGCCCATTGCTTATTGCTCTGTACAGAATGATGCTTCGTGCACCCATTCCCTTTTTTTTTTTTTTTTGGTTCTTTTTTTGTGGGTTTTTTTTTTTGGAAAAGCTGCGGTCAGCTCCCCGTTCTCACAGCGCGTTGCAGTTTATCTGGTTTTCAGTGCAGACTCGGATGATGGGAATAGCAAGTTTTTTCTTCCAGTGTTTTCTCTCCGTGTTCTTCTTCTGGAAATTGGCAGCTGTCAATCTCTTCTCTGTGGTGGGATGGTTGTGGAGCCACGACCAGCCTAGAGAAGTTATGTTCCAGATCTGCAGTGAGAATAAGCAAAAGCACTGCACATACAAGAGGTCTTCATACCCAGCAGTTAGCTGCCCATCACCTTCACCAACCCAGCCTCTCTCTGAGGGAAGGGCAATGACACAGGTGATACATCGCATCTTCATGAAACCAAGCAACCCACTCAAAAATCACAGAATAAATCCATATTTACTCTATTTAATCAGCTTAATTTATTCCGTTCTGACTCCAGTCGCCGCTGAAAATCCCCCTGGAAGGCCACAAAAGCGCACTTACCATCGGCTGCGTGGTATTTCCCTTTCTTCAGTGACCATATGCAGAAATGCAAGAAGAAGGTCAGCAAGATGAGAACAAATAGAGCCACCGCGGTGAGGAAGGCCAGGATGGTGGTGTATAGAGAGTTGTTTGTAATGGGAGCTGCAATTAAAAAAAGATTTAGAAATTGTGTGCCCAGTTAAAGGAAAGGCAGTTCTACCAAGGAAATTTAATCTCTCCTTTCTGTGGAAAATAACTTTCACGGATAAAAACACAGTGTGGGTATTAACAACAAAATTGAGATGCGCCAAATTGAGGGTGCAATAGATCACTGTCTCTGGAAAGAAGCATTCATGCCAAAATCCCCTCTCTCTTGTAGCTGTCGCTTGTTCTATGTACTCCGTTTTGGTTTTTTGCTTTTTGGGGGATGTGGCTTCAATGTTTCCCTGAACAGTACTACAGCAAGCCAAATTTCCCCACTTGTGTCTGCTTCATGGAAGTTAAAAGCAGCCCCTTTTTGCACTTTGTCTCAGCAGAATTAACAGTTTCTCTGAATGAAGGGTCCAGACCTGAAAGGCACCGATCCATTGGAGGAACAAACAAGTATGGCTCTATCAAGGGCAATTGTCAGGATTTGCTCCACTGACAAGGCTTTAATGGTGGAATCTTTACCCAGGTCAGCAATTCTACCTACATTAATATTTCAAGAAACACAACAGGAATTTTCAAAGCAAATTTTCAGGACAGCACGCTCTGGCTGATAACTGTGCAGCAAGTCACCAGCTGAAGAAGTGTAGAGAAAAAGTATAGGCTCAGAGAAAGAAACCATTGTAAGAAGATACCTTGCTCCAAATCTTTAGGGGAACCACACATGACATTGTGCGTGCTGTTGCCTTGCTTGATTGTTAGAAACCCCAAACTTTCACAGCTGAAAAAAACAAACGAGAGTCATGTTTAGTATGTTCCTGCTTTTCCCTTCATTCCTCTCCAGCCTCAGCTTCCTTTCTTCCTTCCCTCCACTCTTTGCACAACTTGTTTTCTTTTTTTCCCTTTTACAGCAGCGCAGGTACAGTTACCGCTGTTCCCCAACATCACAAGTGCTTATGTGCACATTTTTTTTTAGTCTCTTTGTTTCAAATGATGTCCATGTTTGGAACAATTTTCCATCAGTTTGAACTGAATTTGAGAACAAGTTGACTCCACAGCAGTCTTAAATTCTTTGAGACTCACTCTTTATAAAGCCAAAGGAGAGAGAAATATATTGCTAAATTAGAAAAACCTCTCCTTTAATCTCATTGGTGATCTCATCTTTGATTCAGTTTTATTTTCCAATTTAAGTATTAATCATTTGGCAATTTCATCAAGCATATTTCCACAGAAGGAAAGCATTGATAAATACATACTCAGTCCACTTACGACACCAGCCATTCTTAATGTTAGAGTAGGTTCCTGTATCACAAGGTTTACATTTAAATGTGAAGTCTGAAACGCCTACAAGAAAAGGGAACATGAATCATTAGTGGTTGGTGCCTTTCCTGGAAGATGGGGATACGACCGACTAGAGCACACCATGTTCCCTCAGCCCCCTGGAGAAACACGTAAGCAGTTCTTGCCGCCTTTGCATTTTGGGAAAGTTGAAAGGCAACACACAGAACAAAACAGTCTTGAAGCGACAGCTCCAGCAGCTTGGAAGAAAAATAAAACTGAAATGCTGAGCATGAAAGTGCAAGGCTCAGGGAAGCAAGGGTGTCAGCCACAGAGGCCACATTATAAATGCCACTTCTCTTTGCATCATGAGCCTTCCCAAAAGTTGTAAGTGGAGGAAGCTGTCTGCTGCTCAGCCAGCTACTTATATTTTTTACCAATCTTATGCAGCTCCTCGCCTTCTGCGCATTCAGGCAGTTTTTGGCAGTAGAGACATGAAGTATCAATACAGCTGAATCCCTGACGGCATTTGCATTCATGGTCCTGAATATTTTGACACGTGTTGCTGTTTCCTGTCAAAAAGAAAAAAGTTAGAGTTGCCTTTGTCACAGAGGCCAGAAATTAATTTAACCGTTGGTCTTGCTAGCTGACACAGGTGAAATAGTTCCTTGCTGTGCTGTGGTGGGAAAAAAAATGCATGTCAGAAAGTTCTCACTCCCATGTACACTGGATAAAATTCCGACTACTCAAATTCAGGATCACTCAGATTTTTACACTGTGGTTTTCTGCATGACTTACCACCGTAACCCTCCCCTCTCAGCTGGAATACCAGCCTAGGTCGTGGCAGACAGAAGTGAGGCAGCAGGTTTGCTTTACTGCTTTGTTCAGATTTAGATTCTGTGAGGTGAGGAGGGCACTGCCAGTGCCCCAGGGAAACCCTGCACATTAAGTAGCCACCTCATCAGCTCCCAGGACACGGCCAGAGCTCTTCTCAGTTAGGCTCAGCCATGTCAGAGCAGGGAGGCCCAGACGATCCTTGACCAGTGAAGCCAGAGCTCCTTTTCCATGCCTTTCCCAACACCAGCTGCTCCTGGGTTCACGAGAGCAAAGGATCATATCTACTGATTCCATGAACAAGCAGTCCTTCAGCAGCTGGAGATCAGTTAGAGGGAAAGTACTGTTCAACCAGGAAGCTGTATAACCTTAAAGAAAAAAAAATATAGAGAAAGTACTGCTAGCTAGTTTAATAGCGTGTTTAAAACCACAGAGTGGATATCAAAGACCAAGCAAAGATTATCTCCTGAGGTTGGTGATGGAATGTATGGGGTGACCAGGCTGCCACCCACATCTTCCTCTGCCCACTTGCTTTCTCTTACTGGCCTTCAAAACTTGATGCCACCAAGCAACGACTCTCCTGCCTCATGCTGAATGACTTTATCTCAGTGGGCAGGATGACACCTCAGGGTCTCCCCACTACCGAGCACTCTATAGCTCTTCACCTATTTATTGCTCATTCTCACAAATCCCACGGTGTCCACTCACTCCTTTCACAGGGAACGCAGTCGCTGGCTGAGGCAGATATATTCAAGCTCCTAAAAAGTGGGAGGCCAATTCCTACCTAGGCAGGTAACTTCTCAGCTCATCCTGTTGCTAACCTGCAGGACAGCAGCACTACCATCCTAGCTAAACAAGGCTTCCAGCACCTCTGTTTTGGGACAGGTGCATTTCTTGCTGTAGGTCATACGAACATTTCTGGTCTGGCTACCATTAAGGACAGCATTAAATTAGGAAGAACAGTATGGTTGTTCCTGGGACCATGGAAAAGGCCACTAGAATCACCCGTCCTTCAGCCTAAGAGGCACAGAAATGTCGCCCAGTAAGTCCTGCAGCTAGCCTGTTCCATTTCTAGTGCCTTCGTTTGGCTTGAAATTACAGGCAAGTGAGAATCCACCACCAACTCGCCACCATCCTAAGATCAGGCAACAACACAGGTTAGAACAGGCTGTTGAAAACAACGATCAGCTGAGACCTTCTGGGACAAGCACAGGTCAGCAGAACAGAGGGATTGGAGTAGGATGCCTTACAGAGAGCATCACTCCCTGCATGCCCCCCAAAATCTGAACAGCACGGACAAAATTTGAAATCATGTTTCAATGGAGCAAGGGCTCAGAATCCGTGTTAAGTGAATACTTCCCCTCCTCACGAGGAAGATCAACCCACAACTTAGCTTTCCCTTTCCCACTACAGAGTAACAAGTACAAGCACAGAAACAAATCCGAAACACAAGTCCACTCTGAAATTTATAGCTAAGGCACACTGTAAATTAGGAGGGAAGCCCTTGCCCTTTTGCTTTGCACACACAGCTACTCAAGATCCATTTACATACAAGCACACGCCTGCTCCCCTGGTTGACACAAAACAATATTGAGAAGCAGAACCCTGACACATCATTCCCTTACCTGTGCTTGGGATGCATTTGGGGCAGCATTTCTCCTTGCCTTCACTGGTTAATCTCAGCTCACCCTGGCACGGGGTTGCCAGAGTTTGCTGTGCCCACAGGCACACCACCAGCAGCAGCCGAGCTCGAACCTTGAGGTGACTGATTTCACTCATCTGTTCAGCTACACTACCCCAAAAGCACACACTAGGGTGGGCTCATACCAGGGCTTTCCTGCAGAAGGGTGCCACTGTGAGAAGGCACCCTGCTTTTTGTAGCTGCACTCTTCCTGTTTCTTTGGGGGCGGGGAAGAGATTTTATTTTATGTCACCAAATACTTCAAAAACGCAGGGCTACGCAATCACGCAGCAGTGATTCCATGAAGAGAGCAGCAGCAGGTTAAGAGCAAGACACAGCATTTGATTTTAAAAACAATTTTGTGGTTGATATAAGATTGAAAATCAATGCAAATTTAATTAGCGTGTGACCTTCAGCGCTCTCAGATATTCTATCCTGACTTACTTAGAGATCCTGATGAATTTAGGAACCTTCAAGGATTTAACTATCAGAGTGCAACGTACAGTAAATCCATCCATCCATCCACTCAGATTTGCTGATTCTGTTAACTGTTTTCAAGTTCCTTCACTCTAGATCCAGAGACTTTGGAATTACTTTTCAGAGCCACTGTAACACATAATATGAATGCCATGAAACCAAGAGAAAGAATACTGTCTTTCCTAGAGGCTGCAAGATCAACCCTGGGACCAAGACTGAAAATAGTTGCAATGGGCTCTTTAGAGACACATACAGCCCCTGTGACAGCCCATTCCCGTGGGGTTTAGGTAGGAAAAGGCAGCTGCTCAGCAAAATTGTATGTAGGCACAAATGTGTTTCTCGTAATTGTCACCTGCTGCTGGCTTTCAATTCCAAAATATTTTGCCTTACACAAACTTCCATCTCTGCTTTATGTGCAGGCACCTTGCTGGCTCTTCTATTTCCACTGCACCTCAGGGTTTGCGTCTGTCCCTGCAGTTTGTGGTTGCCTTTACGTGTGCACAGTGAAGATGGTATTTAGAATCCAGCCCCACTCTCAACTGAACAAACGAATTCTGATAGAGAAGCTATTTTTAAGGGACTCTTTTCCACACTGCATGTGATGACAAATAGGTCAAGGCAAGGAAGAGGCAGACCTGTGGAAAAAGATGAGCGCGCCTACAGCATTTGACGTTTGCCCTTTTAACTCCTTAGCCTAACACCCAGCCGGTTAAGGGAATAACCATCCCACACACACCAGCACTCTGCCTTCAGCATGTTCCACATTTTCTTCCTGAAGATTCATCTATGCATTTCAAAGAGTAGGTCACTCAACACACTCTTCACTTAGTCTCGGGTCTATTCAGGGATCTACCCGTGTTCCTCTCACGGGCTGGAAACAATCAGGTAAGTTTGGTATGCAACAGACCCTCCTAGTTTTAAAAACGTAAAGCTGCTTGTACCCTTAAATGTGCTAGGCGAAATCTTTCTATCAAGAGATGACATCTTGAAAGCAGGCAAAAGACACGGGCCTCTGTCGTCGGTTTTTCCCACATGATGCCCCTGGAAGGCCAACTCTTATGTTTTGGAAACTAAAAGCCTCCTACTTTGTACTTCTGCCGCACAGGAGATCCCCTGTTCTTCCCACACTGCACTGCTTCTCACACTTGTCACAGCCTGCACCGCTCACGCTACGCTGGAAACACAGACGGGCTGTGCCGCAGCTGCTGCCCAGTGGCCATGGAGAGTCCCGGACACCACGGTCCTTGGGTTTAGTCCCCCAGGTCAGGCTTCCTTTCAGCAGCTTTTCCAAACAGCACAACCGCAACGCCTGGACAGCACAGGGCAGGGCAGGGGCGCTCAGCAGCGTGCAGGACTGTCTCAGCCCCTTCAGAACTCTGCAGGGTCTTACGATGAAGACAAGTTACTAGGCCAAGCATTTGGATGGAATCAGCTCGTGGGTTGCTGAAAGACTTGCCCAGGGGCGCAGCTCCGGCACCCCAGAAACTGCCTGAGGCTTTGGAATGTGCACTCATACCCCGGGTGGAGTCCCGCCGTCAATCAGTCCTGATGTGGAGAAGGCAGACCCTGCTAGGACTCTGACAGCTGTTCTGAAGCAAAAGCTGCGGTCCTGAGGAGCTGAGAGTCACTCAGCCACACTTTCTGGAAGTTACACCTCAAGGCCATACCCTGGAACAGCCGACACACCAGCCAATGGCAACTAATGCTGCCGAATAACTGGTACTTCCAGCAACAGCTGGGACAGGTAATTTTATGAGTAACACAAAGACTTGAATTATAGAAGACTAGGTCTCTAAGTTAGGCACCACACTCAGTCTCCTCAGGCCTTACTTACTTTGTAGAAAAGGACAGCAGCAGCAATAGACAACGTGGGTCAGAAGGGACAAGGGCAGCGCTGTGGTTCCAGGTGGCAGAATGAGCCATTCCCCTGCAGTTCAGAGATGGGCATTAATAACTAGCACTGCCTAAATGCCAGATATGAAGATTAATCACACTTCTGCTTAGTGTCGTAAACACAGCAATAGAGAAGGGACTTCCAAAGTTCCTACCAGGACAACGGGCAGGTGGGACACAAGGGAGCCCTAGGCCTGGCAGCTGGCCCAAGTGATATCTCATACCTGGCGTTTATCAGAATAGGAACTAACAATTTATAGCCTCCTATCTTTTTTGAATGTTGTTTTTGTCTGAATTGGTCTCTACATGTTTTCATTCTTCTTCGAGCATTACAGTTGTGCCCAGATACTGCCAGATGTCGGAACATTTACAGTCAGATCACAGATGACAGTTGTACATGTCAAGTTTAAATCTCTAGAGTCAGCAGTGACCTTTGAGAGAAAACTTGACTATCTGGCTTTAAATCTTAGGGGTTTTTCTAAACCTAATCTTACCTGTCTCTGATGTAAGGTAGTGACATTTCATCTGTCAACCCCTTTCTTGCTTAGTCCTGTACGTGATGCGTGCCAGTGCTGCTGGGCTCCATGGCGCTGCCTGACCTGGAAGGGTTTCCAGCTCTGTGTGCACCTATTGACAGAACAAATGGTTATTTCGCTCATCAATAAGTAGCGGTTCTCACCTTTTCATCACCTGACTGGTGGTAGGAGCAGCTGCAGGATTCACTTCAGTAAAGGAAGGGTGGCACAGAAACACAGGTGGCAAAAGAGCCCAAACACAGTGGATGCGATCTGAAGGAAGAATCGGCAGACTCTTCCACTCACTGAAGCGCACCGATGTGGTAGCTTGTACCTCTGCCTCCAGGACCCACATTCATAGAATCACAGAACAATTCAGGTTGGAAAAGACCCTTGGGATCATCGAGTCCAACCACTGACCCTACACTACAAGTTCACCCCTAAACCATATCCCCCAACACCACATCTGAGCAACACTTGAACACATCCAGGGATGGCGACTCAACC